AATGGAATACTACTCAGCCATTAAAAAAAATGGAAATCATGAAATTTGTACGCAAATGGATAGAGCTAGAAAAGATCATCCTGAGTGAAGTAACATGGACCCAGAAAGCCAAACATAGTGTATACTCACTTATAAGCAGATTTTAGTCCTATAGTACAAGATAGAATACTACAATGCGCAGACCCCAAGAAGATAAGTCCGATGGACATCTAAGGCTGCATGTCAGCCCACTACTTACACAAGCGGGAAAGATCTCTGACACAGACTATGTTGTCTGCTTTTTGATCACTTTCCGCTGATGGGACTTCCCTACTAGGTCACAGAGGAGGAAGGTGAACTCAGTCCCAATGTGAATAGATGAGCTTGGGTGTCTGGGTTGGAAAGAGAGGATGTGGGAAGGAGGATGGTGCTGGGAGGGACCTATGACCAAGATGTAAATTAACTTAACAAAAATTTTAAAAAGTACACACAAAAATGTTTAAATATACCCATAATAAATTTGACTATGTTCATTTATTCAGTTTTGTCTTGAGTCATGGTCTCTTTATGGAATTATGGCTGACCTTATAGCCCTTCCTCTATCTCCAGAGTATTGGGATTAAAGGTTGTCAGTCCTATTTATAATTCTATGACATGATCATCACTTACTTTATTACTATTTGATGAATATTTTCACTGTTGTTTTAAGGGTTTGCTTGGATTTAAAAAATGTTATTTACAAAGATAAGTCTATTTTTGAAATTATTTATTTATTTTTTTAATTATTGTTTATTCACTTTGTATCCCCCCTTTACCTCATTCTCTCCTCCCCTCCCAATCCCATGCTCTTTCCCTCTTCCCCACCCCTGTCCCTCTCCCAGTCCACTGATAGGGAGGTCTTCCTCCCTTTCCTTCTGATCCTAGTCTATCAGGTCTCATTAGGAGTGGCTACATTGTCTTCCTCTGTGGACTGGTAAGGTTGCACCCCCCTGAGGGGAAGGTGATCAAAGAGCAGACCAATCAGTTCATGTCAGAGACAATCCCTGTTCCAGTTACTATGGAACCCACTCGGACACTAAACTGCCATGGGCTACTTCTGTGCAGGGGTTCTAGGTGACCTCCATGAATGGTCCTTGGTTGGAGTAGAAGTCTCAGAAAAGACCCCTGGGACCAGATATTTTGGTTCTGTTGCTCTCCTTGTGGAGCTTCTGTCTCCTCCAGGTCTTTCTATATCCCCCTTCTTTCAAAAGATTCCCTGCTCTCCTCCCAAAGTTTGGTTGTAAGTCTTAGCAAAAGCTTTGATATTCTGTAGGGTACAGTCTTTCAGAGGCCCTCTGTGGTAGGCTCCTGTCCTGTTCCCTGTTTTCTCCCTCTTCTCATGTCCATCCTCTTTGCCTTTCTGAATGAGCTCATCTTCTTAATTCTATGGAGTTCAGGATTTTTAAAACAGGAAATGGGTCTTCCTATGCCAATTAATGTAATCAAGATAACTCCCTAGGAGGTATGCCCAGAGACCCATCTCCCTGATTATTCTGCATTCTTCAAATTGAGAGATAACATTATTGGTAGACTGTTGATGGTCACACCTCTAATTTGTTTTTTTTTTTTTAATTGATTGCTTTAAATGGTCTTTCAGATTTTCTGGTTCTGATTACTAACTTGCCCTGTTTAACCAGTTAGCACCATGAAATTTTCTTCAGCGGAATCAAGTTGTTGCCAACCTCTCTTGGTGAAATAGCCTCCAGGAGATGACTCCACAGAGTTTGCAGCACACCTGAATTCCATTGAGAACATAGAGAGATTCTTTCCTTGTTCCTGTTCTCACTTTCACTATTCATGATGTCATAGTGACATTGGATTGCTATCTGTGATGGGTCTTAAACAGAGTGTTCCTGGCACATAGATTGATCAAATAATATTTTTGTTATTGTTATTGTTCCAAAGTGTGTCTGATTAACAACTCTAAAGCTTGACAGTTTAAAGAAAATATTTTTCACAATAAAACTGAAACACTTTTAACAGTTGATTGGTACATAATATCTTAATATTTTATAACCTTCATTACACAAGAAGCCTTGCTTTCTGATTTCTATGGCTTCTTTTTATCAACTATTTTTATTTATGTCAATTCCATTATAAACCATAAAAATCTTGTTGTGGATAATGTTATCCCTCCATGTTTTTGTTCCAAGCTTAGCTAATATCTCATTGCTGAATCCTTCTACTGAAAGATTTTGCCAGAAATCCCAGCCATCTCTGTCAAACAACTTTGGTATCAAGCTAGTAAAATTATTTCACTTTATCATGGAATAATATATGTTATTGCTTTGCAGTTGTTGTTGTCTTAAGTTCCTTGTTCTACATTCAAAATATAATGTAAGATTTGACTTCATCTCTAGTTTGGAGCATAAACTAACTACTGTGTTTCTGATGGTCTAGTGTATGATTTTCTAACATGATTGGAGACATGCAGTCACAATAGAGTCATTGTGGCAATGTGCCCATGTGGAAAAGAGCATATTGGCATTTTAACATATCATTGTATAGTGATTTGTACACCAGAACAATTCAATACTTTTTGCAGCTATGATTTTCAGTTTTCCTAAAGGAAAATAGGAGAGATTTTCAGAAAGGACATGATCAGAAAAAAAAAAAAATCTTTAAAAGCCAGTAAATGAATTTATCAAACTCTAAGTCATCAGAAAACTGAGACTACAGTAATTATTGGTATTTAATAGATAGCCTCAATATAAGCAAGCTAAAATAGATATGTATAGATTCGTCTGTGATGAAAAACATTTTTGTGAGGATAACACTCTCTTCTATGCCAAAAACTTCCATTTATTGACATGTATTTTACATGAGGTAAACTGAAGAACTGATTGAACTTTGGATAGATTGTTTAAACTATTGATAATTTCCAATGTGTAGTATTTTTCACAATTGACATTTTTGTAATTATTATACATTTCTGATATATATACATATATGTGATAAGCATATGATACATACCTATGAACAAAATATATGAACATATACATATAAACAAAAGCCACCACTCATATCCACCCAAAGCAGTGACATTTTTCTTCAGCCATTTCCAGAATATGAGAAATATGTTCATTGATATGATTAATAGAGTAATAGTCTGTTTTTAGGTGTGGTCACTGAATCTCAAAAAAATAGCATATAGTTACTAATTTGAAATAGAAATAATTTTTATTCTGTTTGCAGTAAAATCATTAATATTATGTGACACAATTTATTTAATCAGACCCTTAAGATCATAGATCAACAGTTATTTATATCGTAATGATATCTGTAATCTCAAAGATTATATTAAAGGCACTGAGTTAATAATATTTTAATAGGAAGAAAATTATAGTTAAAATACTCTTATGGAAGTGTTTTAACTATTAGATTTTTTTTTTTTACAATTCCATTTGAAACTATGACTTAACTTTTCAGATATTGCATAATTATTTAATTACATGTCTCAGGAGCTGACAACATGTTGAATAATTGGGGAAAATAGTGTGCAGTGTGCCCTTCACAAGAAATTTCCTACTAGTAGAAATTGAAACTGTGCACCACACCTGCATGCACACATATATGCAACACACACACACACACACCACAGGCACAGTGGCAGACACAGATTATCTGGAAACAAAATGAATGAAAGTTCATATATGATTGTGCAAAGGTAGAATACAATTTATCTGATAGGTACAGACTGGAATGGGTCTTGCTGTTATTAGCAAAGTTTTCAAGATGTTGATAAATGTGATAGCTATAAGTGATGGTTGATGCCAATTGTCAGCCTGAGAGAATCTAAAATTATCAAGTGATAAATGGACCTTTAGTCATCCCTGTGGGAGACTCTAGTGACTACATTATTTTCAGTAAGAAGAGTTTCCCACTGGGAGTCTCACCATTGCATTACTGGGGCATAGATTTTGTCATAGAAAAAATGGAACTGGGGAGTGGCGTGTGTCCATTGCTTTCTGCTTCTTGACTGCATAAAATACTCATGATTTCTTGAAACAGAATCCTGTGCTCAAAGGCAGCATCTGAAGACACTGTTTATGTTCCTCCTGATGAAATGCTGTTTTAGCTACTTTGTACCCTCTTTCTTTCTCTGTCTACTTCCTCCCAGTCCTTTCATCATAGTGTCTATGGTGAGCTGAGTATTTTTGAATTTGAAATTTGAAAGAATACATTATGTATTACATAAACCTTAGAACCTGCAAAAACAATTTATTTTAATTATAAGTATTAAAGAAAGCAGATTCAAAAGGAATCATCTTGCCTCCTAGAAAGGTCTTTGATGGGTCCAGGATTTCAGAATCTTCCAAGAAGAAAAACATTAACAGGAACCAGGACGGCTGACAGAGGTTTCACATGTTCATAAATAGTTTACTTGAGGAAAGGGGGGACTTTTAAAAAAGAACAATATGTAGTAAGGCGTGGTGGAATTGTCGCATAAATGGTTAATTGTTACCATTTTTTTCAAGAACAAAGTGCTGCATTTTGGTGGAATGACATAACCAATGACTGTCATTGATATCTAGTCATTTGAGCACCATTAACACTTCATTTGTGCACAGTTAATTACATAGAGGATTTTGTACTTGATAATAATAATAATAATAATAATAATAATAATAATAATAATAATAGCTTATTGAGCCTGCAAGCCTGAGGTTGGCAATATTATTATTGATCCTAAAGAATGTGTTTGTAAAATAACTCATGAAACATGGATATATGAAAACCACGATGACGATTTTCAACTTGTACAGGAGGAAAAAGGCAAAAAAAAAAAAGCCACAAAAAGTTTTATCTTTAAATCAGAGGTACCATTGTAACTGGAAAAATTAGAAAGTAAAAATTAGGACAGGATGGGAGATAAAATTATGTTGACTTGGAAGATTTGAGTAACTACAAACAACTGGGTAACTGACATTATTTTCAACATAATAAGGCTTTATTTTTCTTTGTATTTTCTTCTCTTTCAGGCTGATGTCATCGATGTGAGTTATGGAACTACAGATGACCTGAAACGGATTACAAAGTTGAAAAATGTAACAAATCAAATTGCACTCCTGAAATTAGGAAAATTCCCACTGCTGTATAAGGTCAGTCCAAAGGCTCTTATTTGGTGAGAGAGTAAGTCAATTCTTTTTTTTAAATTTTTTATTTTTCTTTTTAGTTACAATTTGTTAACTCTGTGTCCCAGCTGTATCCTGCTCCCTCATTCCCTCCTCCTCCCCAACTCCCTCCCTGGTCTCCTCCCTGGAGGAGCAGTCCTGTTAGGCCACAGAGGAGGACTTTGCAGCCATCCTTGAAGATACCTGATAAAACAGGGTCAAATGAAAGGGGAGGAGGTCCTCCCCTATCAGTAAGTCAATTCTTTTGTGCTGTTTGTGGTAGGTGCTTTTGAAATTATGGAGAGGGAGACAGAGAAGGGCAGGGACAGAGACAGAGACAAAGATATGCACACAGAGAAAAAATTATCATTTTGAAAATATAATAAATTAAGATCTTTAATGAAAAGAAATTGACGTTTGTATTTCTTAATGGAGGGTAAACCCAAATTTGGGGTTGAGTGAGTCTGTGAGCTCCTAGCCAAGGAGTGTGCCTGTATAAAGGTACACATAGAAACTGCTGACATAAAGAACCTGAGCTCCCTCTTCTCAGAACATATGGGAAAATTCCAACCTGTTGTCAAAACTGGCTCATGTGCATGCATCCTATAGATCAAAATTTAACTGACTTATGCTCATCTGTGATTAATTTTGTAAACTGTAACTTCACAGTTACTGCCTGTGCTCAGTAATCCAATTAAATATAATAGGCTAAGGAGGTGTAGAAATTTCATTTATTTTGTTTAAATTGAATTTATTAACATTTATCTACTAGAAGCATTTATATAATTAAAGCAGGTCAAACTAAATACTGGATAAGGATCTAACACAATATATATTCAGGACTGCTGCCTATTGTTTCTTTATTTGTTTAGAAAGAATATTCATTGTGGTTATGTAACAAGAAGACCCTTGTTCGGAAGATAAATTCAACGTTTTCTTATACATTCTTAAATGGTTTTGCTAATGCCCAAGCCCAGTATTTCCATAAAACTATTGGATGAACTGGTAAGAAAAAAAAGAGGCCAGGCATAGTGGTATATATGTCTAGTTCCAGAACTCGGGTGGCAGAGGCAGGTTAATCTGTAAGCTTGGGGCTAGCCTTGTCTACTTGGCTCACTGTTTCAAAGAAACAAAGGATAAAAGAAAAGAGGGAAGAAATGAAAGAAGATAGGATGAGGACTTTCTGTACTTATTTTTTATTATCTTCAAATATGTATTTATATTTAATCAGTGTCAAATCATGCACACCTGGTTAAAAATGTGAATGTTTTTAAAATTATTTTTATTAATTACAGTTTATTCACTTCATATTTCCCATGTAGTTCCCTCCCTCCTCCCCTCCCAATCCTACCCTCCCTCCCTCTTCCCAATCCATGCCCCTCTTCCAGTCCACTGATAAGGGAGGTCCTCCTCCCCTTCCCTCTGTTCCTAGTCTATCAGGTCTCATCAGGAGTGGCTCATTGTCTTCCTCTGTGGCCTGGTAAGGACACTCCACACTCAGGGAGAGGTGATCAAAGAGCAGGCCAATTAGATCGTGTCAGAGACAGCCCTGTTCCTTACTATGGAACCCACTTGGACACTAAATTGCCATGGGCTACCTCTGTGCAGGGGTTCCAGGCCATCGCACGAATGGTTCTTGGCTGGAGTATTAGTTTCAGAAAAGATCCCTGTGCCCAGGCTTTTTGGATCTGCTACTCTCCTTGTGGAACTCCTGTCCTCTCCAGGTCTTACTATCTCCCACATCTTTCATAAGATTACTTGCACTTTGCCCAAAATTTGACTATGAGTCTCAGTATCTGCCTAGATACCCTGCAAGGTAGAGACTTTCAGAGGTCCTCTGTGGTAGACACCTGTCCTATTCCCTGTTTTCTCCCTCCTCCGATGTCCATCCTCTTTGCCTTTCTGAATGGGGATTGAGCATCTTAGCCAGAGTCCTCCTTCTTGATTAGCTTCCATAGGTGTACAGATTTTTAGTATGTTTATCCTATATTATATGTCTAATATCTACTTATGAGTGAGTATATGCCCTGTGTGTCTTTCTGCTTCTGGGAATACCCCACTCAGGATGATATTTTCCAGATCCCACCATTTACCAGCAAATTTCATGATTTCCTTTTTTATTTATTATTATTATATTTCATGTTTTTTATTGCTGAGTAATATTCCATTGTGTAGACGTACCACACTTTCTGTATCCATTCCTCAACTGAGGGGCATCTGGGCTGTTTCCAGCTTCTGGCTATTACAAATAAAGCTGCTACAAACATGGTTGAGCAAATGTTCTTGTTGTATACTTGAGTGTCCTTTGGATATATGCCTAAGAGTGGTATAGCTGGATTTTGAGGAAGCACTATTCCTAATTGTCTGAGAAAGCACCAGAATGATTTCCAGAGTGGTTGTACAAGTTTACATTCCCACCAGCAGTGAAGGAGGGTTCTCCTTTCTCCATATCTTCTCCAGCATGTGTTGTCACTTGAATTTTTATTTTAGGTTTTTTTTTTTTTAATTTTATTTTTTTCTTATCAGTTACATTTTATTAACTCTGTATCCCAGCCGTATCCCACTCCCTCATTCCCTCCCAATCCCACCCTCCCTCCCTCATCTCCACCATGCCCCTTTCCAAGTCCACTGATGGGGGGGGACCTCCTCCCCATTCATCGGATCCTCTTTTATCAGGTACCCTCAGGACTGGCTGCGAAGACCTCCTCTATGGCCTAACAGGACTGATCAAAACAAAAAGACTGCCTACAGATTGGGAAAGAATCTTCACTAACCCTTTATCTGACAGAGGACTAATATCCAGTATATACAAAGAACTAAAGAAGCTGAAAAACAGCAAACCAAGTAATCCACTTAAAAAATGGGGAACAGAGCTAAACAGAGAATTCTCGACAGAGTAATATTGAACGGCAGAGAAACACTTTAAGAAATGCTCAACCTCATTAGCCATCAGGGAAATGCAAATCAAAACGACCCTGAGATATCACCTTACACCCATCAGAATGGCCAAAATGAAAAACTCAAGTGACAACACATGCTGGAGAGGTTGTGGAGAAAGGGGAACCCTCCTCCACTGCTGGTGGGAATGTAAACTGGTACAACCACTCTGGAAATCTATCTGGTGTTTTCTCAGACAATTAGGAATAGTGTTTCCTCAAGACCCAGCTATACCACTGCTAGGTACATACCCAAACTTTGCTCAAGTCACTTGAGTTTTTGATCTTAGCCATTCTGATGGGTGTAAGGTGAAATCTCAGTGTCATTTTGATTTGCATTTCCCTGATGACTAAGGACTTTGAACATTTCTTTAAGTATTTCTCTGCCATTAGATATTCCTCTCTTGAGAATTCTGAATGTTTTGAAAATAAAAATGTGCAATTTTTTTTGCTGGACAATCTTTTAAAGTACAATAAATCCTTTAAAATATTCATGTATAGCTAAAGAAAACTTTCTCAACTAATATGTTCTATTTCGTGAAAAAATTAAGAAACACAGTCATGGTCAGTAAAACACACAATTCTGTGCTGAAACCATCTGGCTCTGGGCTTATTTTGTATGTGAGACTTTGGATGACAGCTTTTATTTCCTTAGGGTATGTAGGATTATTTAATTTATTTACCTGATCTTGATTCAGCTTTGGTAAATGAAATCTATCAAGAAAAATTGTCCATTTCATTTATATTTTCAAATTTTGTTGGATATAGGCTTTTGAAGTAGGACCTAGTGATTCTTTGGATTTCCTCAGTGTCTATTGTTATGTTCCCCTTTTCATTTCTGATTTTGTTGATTTGGACAATGTGCCTCTGTCTTTTAGTTAGTTTGGCTAAGGGTTTCTCTACCTTGTTGATTTTCTCATAGAACTAGCTCTTGGTGTCGTTGATTCTTTGTACTGTTTTCTTTGTTTTTAGTGTATTGATTTCATACCTGAGTTTGATTATTTCTAGCTGTCTACTCCTTTTGAGTGTATCTGCTTCTTTTTTTTCCTTAGCGCTTTCAGGTGAACCATTAACTTGCTTTCATGAGATGCCTCAATTTTCTTTATGAAGGCACTTAGTGCTATGAAATTTCCTCTTAGCACTGATTTCATTGTGTCCCATAAGTTAGGTAAGTTGTACTTTAATTTTCATTAAGTTCTGGGAACTATTTAATTTCTTTCTTTATTTCCTCCCTGACCCAATTGTCATTGTGTAGAGAGTTCTTCAGTTATCATTTGTGTGTAGGCTTTTTGTTATTTGCTATTGTTGAGGTCTAGTTTTAGACCACTGTGGTCCGATATGATACAAGGAATTATTTCAATTGTCTTGTATCTGTTTAGGCTTGCTTTGTTCCAGACTATATGGTCAATTTTGCAGATGGTTCCATGAGGTGCTGAGAAGATATACTCTTTTTTGTGTTTGGGTGAAAGGTTCTGTAGACATCTACTAGGTCCATTTGATTTAAGACCTCTGTAAGTGTCATTATTTCTCTGTTTAGCTTCTGTCTCAATGATCTATCCCTTGGTGAGAGTGGGGTGTTGAGAATCTCCCACTATTAAGGTGTCGGGATCAAAGTATGATTTAAGCTTTAATAAAGTTTCTTTGACATGTGCAGGAGCCCTTGTGTTTGATGCATACATGTTCAGGATTGTGATGTCCTCCTGGTGGATTTTTCTTTTGATGTGTCCCTCTCCATCTCTTTTGGTTTTTGTTTTTGTTCGGTTGAAAGTCTATTTTATTAGGTATTAGGATGGCTACTCCAACTTGCTTCTCGTGTTCATTTCCTTGGAAAACCTTTTCCAGCCTTTTACTCTGAAGTAGTGTCTCGCTTTGTTGCAGAGATATGTTTCTTGAATGCAGCAGAATGTTATATCCTGTTTCTGCAACTAATCTGTTAGTCTGTGTCTTTTTATTGGATAAATATACTAAAATATATAGTCCTAAAGAAGCTAAGCAAAAATGAAGGAAAATGCTTAATCCTCATTCAGAAGGGCAAACAAGATAGACATAAGA